GCTATTTCTTTATTTGTGACATACATAAAAGGAAAATATTTTTCCTATTTAGAAAAGAAGTGTAATTTAATATAATTACTCATAGTCAAAGTTTGTATTAAAAAATCTTTTAGTTCAATTATTTTGACACATTCTGAATAAGATATCACATTTATTAACAGATATGAATGTTGCCATATTTCTTATTTGAACGTATTCCAGTAAGGAATTACAGGCATTTTCAAAGTTTATTTAGAAGGAACTTACTGAGTAGACTAACAAATAATACAGAAAGCTCCTGCTGTTCCATTTAGCCGTGAGGAGCAGAAACACCTACTTCCTCTATGTTACCAGATTACTTATGTGAGTTTCACTAACGAATCCCCAGCTTGAGGCTTATTTCCATGTTCAATCTCCTTTGAAAGGAACGCTTCCCCTTCTTAGCCTCATACCCAACCCAAATAAAAGTCCAAAATGTAATATGCTGCTTCCTGTTTAAAGACATAGAAAACTGGATTCCTTCTCCAAGAACAAGGAATGAGATTGTTGAAAAACCACAGATGAAAACTACCGGAACATTTACACCGTGTTCCAATATGGTGGAAAAGAAACAAATTTTTGGAGCCGCTACCAAAATGTGGGTGCTTTCACAAACATTTCCTAATTGAGTTTTCAGAGCTCCTCCTTACAGGTGAGTAAGGTGAGGCCCAGAGAGGTCAAGTGTACCAAAGTTTACAAAGTTGGTGACAGAGCAAGGATTCAAACCTGTTTTTTCCATGTAGATACAACCCATTATAGCATTACAATCTATTTTTAGAAAACATGCTAATCCAGGTGAGAAGAAGTTAGTAAAGATAGCTAAGGAAAATGTCTACCCTGCAAAGGTTGCTAGGTCCCTCCAGAAATCCTAACACTGTAACTAGAAACAGTTCATGGGTAAGTGACCTGGGTCATGACACAGGACCTTGTGTTTAGAAGGGCCCCATGCTTGGTTTAATGCTCTGCTGTTGCTATATTGAAACCTCAATAATTTTTTAAGAAAGACCTCTACGTTTTGCACTGAGTCCCAAAATTATGTAGCTGGTCCTTCCTGTAAAGGCCAACAAAGTGAGAGTAATACAGAAAACAGAACCACTCTTATGGAGCCAAAAGGTAGTTAGGTCTTGTGTCAGGGGCTGTCTGGAATAGAATAAGGTTGGATGCCATAGGCAGGAGACACGCCAGGGAAAACTTTCTAAGTAAGATGCTTGTTCTTCTCACCTCCCTGGTCACTGCTTGTCAACATGCATTTTCAGGGTAGAAAATAGTAGCTCCAGCCCAGTACCAGCCAGAAGGGAGAAACAACATCTGGACAGCACGGGAATTTGACCGGGTGGATAGCTATAAATGAGAGGTAAGCAACTTGACCTGCTCCTCAGTGTGCCCTCTTCAACTCTCCACCATGTGAGCTGGATGGAATATAATCCAGGGAAATGGGTCCTGGAACAAAGCAGAGTCAAGAGCCCAACCAGTGGGAGGTCCTTCAAGGAGTCCCCTCCTTTGTATGTGCCCAAGGTATGGGGGCAAACTGGGAATGATTAGCCCTAATTACAACGGAATCTCTCTGCACTCAGGGACACCCTCCCAACTCACCCAGAAGGGGACAGGTTACAGCACTGGCTGTCATATCTCCCATACCTCACCAGTCAAAGTTGCTGATATGCCAAGAGAATATTAACTTACAGGAAAAAATAACATCTGATGAGCACAAGCAACACACTGAAATACCTAAATCAGAGGAAGCAGAATTAGTACACTGGACAGACCAAAATTTAATACATGAATAAAGTATGCCTTAAGATATAAAGAAAGACTTTAGACAGATGAAACAGGAAAAAAACAGTTATGAAAAAGAATCATATGAGAAATTGGGCATGAAAAATATAATAGCTGAAAGAAGAACTCAGCAGGAGGGCCGAATAGCAGAAGGAGAGCATAGAAGAGTCAGTGAACTAGAAGACCAGGTAGTAGGAAGGGATAAAGAAATGGGAGGCAGTTAGAATTATGAGAGATAGATGTAGAACATCAATATTTATGTAATAGGACTTGCCAAAGTTACACTGCATCTAGGAATTACCGTAATGAAGAACACAGAGAACTGTGTAAACTAGATGCAAACAGAGTGGAGGGAAAAAACACAATGAGATCTATGCCTTAGTACCATTTATGTGAACTGAAAACATGTAACTCTGTAGATATTTTAGGGATGGGAATTTGTCTAAAGACACATATTGAACCCATTAGAGTGGGTGTCTGTGAGAATGCGAATGTGAGTGGATAGGGAATGAAGGGAGAAATAATAAAATAAACCAAGAGAGTGGCCAAGCCAGAGGCCTATGATGAATTAAAGAGTTTGCGTAACTCCATTCTGAGGGCCAAAAGTTTTTTAAAATAAAGAAATAAAGATAATGGATGGATATCTTTTTACAGGCTAAAGGAGGCTAAGTGGTGATCTAAAGTCATCAGAGAATCACAGAAAGAAAGCAAAAGGATATTTCTTTCTTCTTCGCAGTTGAAAGGGCTTAATAAACAGACATGAAGCAAACATCCTTTATATACCAGGCACTGTCCCAGGTGCTGAGAATACCAAATTGAGTAAGATACCGTCTCGACTTTTAAGAAATGTTGTTATTTTCCCAGGCTAGTCCCACTCCTTTTGACCAGCTCCAAAAAGGGGTTTTTACACTCATGCTGCTTTAAATATAACAAGCATAACTGATATTGTAATCTAAATCCCGTCTTCTTTATCGGATCTGAAGGTTAAAGAGAGTTTTGAGGTCACCGAGGTCCACTTTCCATGGCCTCAGGAATCTCTTCTATTTCCAACCTTTGGAAGTTTACTTCCTTGTAATGACCAGGCATTGTTAGCATTTCTTTCCTATGGAGTGGCTGTGGATAAGTGTTACCTCTGAGACAACCTCCCTTAGTCTCTCTTCTTTGGGTTAAACACTGCTAAGACCTTTAACTCTTGTAACAGACAAACTAGTCTTGATCATTATTTTGCCCTATTCCGGAACAACCACCCTCTCCTAACCAACTGCTCATACCCAATCCATCTGCTGAAACCACATTCTTCTGGAAAGTCATCCTGGATCACCCCCGTACAGAATGCCACGTTATCCCCTGCATTTACACTGATGGGCTCTCTCTCAACCCATATGATTCAGGGACCCCTGCTGCCTTGAATAACCAGTTATCTTGCCATTGGATTAACTCATATCCCAAATTTACGGAAAGCGTTTTAAAAATCTTTTCATCAATAAGTTGTGTTTAAGTATTTATCTCTATTTGGTTGATCCCATCTAAATAGTTACTCAATATTTTGGTAATCTCTAAAGATGGCATTGAGATCGAGGGCTCCCTAGGCAAGCCCATAGTTTGGGAAGAAAATCTTACACCGTAAAGAATGTTTCATGGGAAGTAACAAAACAGGAACTCTCAGCAAAGCAAACGAATACCTTTTTTTAGAAAATAAATGTATTCTTAAGGGTGATATAGAGAAATAGGTTTCTCTGTCTCGGTTTCCAAAACCATTTCAGGTTGAAAACTGCTTATTGAGTTCATAGGGTAATGCTTAGCTTCTGCGTGAGATCTGCAACTGGTCCCTTAGTGGCTCAGGACCCTGACAGGAAGCAGTCAACTTGTCTGGAACATAATGGTGTTTATCAGGAGTTTGCATCCTTTTTTATATTTACTTGGATATTCATATGGTTTAGCTTCTACATATAATCAAAATGTGCAATCCTGCACTATGAATTCATCCGTATAATGATGTATTTTGCAGCTAACGGATATTAGCTTATGTTGAAAACTATTTATGATAAAGCTGTAAGTGGAAAAAAAAAAGCATGACTAATGCTGTGTTTCTAGGGCTGTGTATGGAAAGATTGAAAGGGAATGCATAAAAATATTAATAATGGTTATCTTTGGGTTGAAAGACTCACTTTTATTTTATTTTTCTTATAGCTTTGAAATTTTCTATGATGCATTTTTATATAACAAAATATATATTAAAAATTCATTTCTTAAACTCCTTATGCCTGCAACACAAGGATAATGATGGAAAGAATATCTATGTCTTTACATTTATGCACATCAGAGCCACAAATGTGAACCATAAACTACGATGGAAGCTGTGCCCTGCTAGAACTGAGGTTATATGTTCACAAAAATTCTGCTCCAAACTGTCCTCAGGGCTGGGAGAAACCAGAATAAGTCTACAGTTACAGTGAAGATAACCCCAAAGTATGTGTCAGTTATTGACTATACCATTTCGTTTATTTGTTTTAAAGGAAGAAACCATCCTATGCAATTCAGGTCACCTCTTGTGCTTAGCACTTAAGGATTTTGGTAGAATTTTCACTGTAAAACTTGAGTTTGACACACAGAATAAATTCTTGCATAACTTCAATGAAAAAAGCCAATTTCCCTAATAGATAAGCCAAATGCTGAAAAATTTTAGAGAACTTAAAAAATCATCAGTCATAGCAGTCTTTTGTAACTGCATCTTTTATCAGTCCAGTAAATGTTCAAACCAAACACTTTGAATACCTGTGTGTACTGTCGTGTTCGAAGAGAAGCAAAAACCTGTTTTAAACAAACAAAAGCATCATGACTCCCACGAGGAGATTTCAGTCTAGACACATGTAACCTAGGCCCCCACCCGCCCACCTCAAATCTCATCCTCCTGAACATGTAAATATTTATTTGGTTTGTCTTCCTTACTTTCAACCATGGTCTAGTAGTGTTGGCCTCTTGTTTTACTGAGCTTCATGACTTAGCTCCAGAAGCTGTTGTTTTGTTCATTATGATTCTAGAAGCCCCGTCAGTGGGCAGTAGTATTGGCCAATGCCATCAGAATCTTTTCTATGTAAATAGTGGATTAGTCAAAGAGCGTTTTTAGTATTCCTCTAAATTACATATAGAAGCATATTCAAGAGGAGTCCATGCATTTTTCAATTATTGTTTAACATGTCTCTTACCTTTGCTTTTATTATCAGTTCCTCGTGCTTACGGATTAGCTCCTCATTGTCTGAAAGTGATGAACCTAGACTTTGTTCCTGTAAATCTCTTATGGTTTTCTGAAACCAACAAGTAACCTAGGTAGGAAGCAACAAAGAAAGATCAAATTTCAAATGATTAGAATAAGTGAGTAAAAATTCAGAAATCTTTCCTTAACCTTTCAAAACTTAAATTCCTTCAATTTCTCTTTGTATCAACTCATCTCATGTATTAAATTAATATGATTGGGTTTCTGTTTTTCCTTCATTTCAATCTCTATGTGCTTAAGAGAAAAAGACAAAATAATCCCCTAAAAGCATGAAAATGATATACAGTTCAGTAGATTACACGGCATGAAGAAAATAATTCAAAATCTCCTAACAAAGAAGAACCAAAATAGATTCCCATGCAGTCTATAAGTCATGCACTCTTTTGGAAAATAAATCTTCTTTCCTGGGTAAGAATAAAAAATCTGAGTATAGTTACACAGACCCAGATGAAGATATTAAAACAGCATATATGGAATTATATTTCTACGATAAAAGACAGTGCAAAAATAATTAATTTGCTGCAATTTCTGGAAATATATATTCGGAAAATAGAGAAGTTATTAAAATTCTGTTGACATTATAAATGGCTAAGGGTTTGACTCACATTCATTTACGCTTGCTTTACAATACATGCTTATACAGTGTTAAAACAACAAACGGTAAAGAACTTGAGAGAAGCCGTACATTTTTAAATGATGATATAAGTTGACATGGGACCAATGACATGTGGCCCCTGGAGGTAGATTCTTTATCCCAATTAAAGGAAAGAGACTTGGATTTTTACTCTCAAACCCTATACAGCACCATCCTCACAAACACATCACAACTACTGATTCCTAAGAGGCCCCCACATGCCAGACTTTGCTAATTGCTTTTTGTGCATCATCTCTATTTGTCTCGACAACTTCATAACAAGTATGATATCATCATTATAGAGATGAGGAGAGGGTAGCAGCTTAGTCAGGATCATACAGTAAGTGGTAGAATCGGGATTTGTCCTAAAACCTACATTATTCCAAAGTCCGTGCTCTTTCCACTGTACCCTGCTGCCATCCTTGGGTAACTTAAGTCTTACAGCCTTGGTCATCAGGAAGAATTAATTCAAACCTGGAAAATGAATCCCAGAAGCCCATTCAAAATGGTGGGCCTTGCTCAATCATTGCACTGCGTCTTTCTCTAGCCTAGGTTGTCTTGCCTGCTGCAGCCTCAGAATTTCTCTGAACTCCTACAACAGAGAAATGTGTGAAGCGGGTAGCTAAGGAGAGAGCCAGGTTAATCCTGAAGCGCCACATAATAAATGTACACCACAACACACACACACACAACTATACAAAAGTCAAGTTAGGGGTTACCCAGAATAGGAGATTTAATTACCATTACAGGGCTCATATCACAAAGCTGATTCTGAGATCCAATGGTCCATACCAATCCTTAGTACTCCCAGCATGGAATAGGCAATAAAAAAATGGGGCAAGAGGGTTTCTCCAGCTTTTGGCTAATTGGAAATCTTTGTTAACCAACATTTTAAGCCACTATCAGTGCAAAGGAAAGAATAATGGTGACCCTGTAGCAGTTTTCATGTGAAGTACGCCTCATTTTCTTCAGAATATTTGGTTATCTGCACATAGTACGCACACTAGACAGTCCCCGTATCTAAAGCATTGTGTTTATGCATTTGCAATTATTTGAAGATAGTCTGTCTTTCTGGTATCCCAATTAGAACTAGATGATATGTATAATGTGCATATTAGAAGTTATAGACAGTATTTTATCAAGTTATAAAATTTTTTAATTTATTTAATTTTTATAAAAATAATTTCTCACAAAAGATGCAGCGAACCCACATAAAAATACAACCAGAGGGATAACTTAAGGGTTTCATCAAAGAAAAATGGATCATGAATATAACTAACTTTCAGAGTTCATTTATTTTATTAAGTACTGGGAGTGAGTTTTATCTATTCTTAGCTAAAGCAGGAGGAACTCAGAAATCTCAAGAATGCTTTAATAGGGAAGTTAATATAGAATCAGAGTGAATAAAAATTGGGTATAAACAGGTGTTCACTAATCTCTAAAAACAGGTGAGAAGCCTGGATCCTCAGATAATCCTATTTAATTTTGTGAGTCAAAGACTTGTCATCTAGCACCTGCCAGCAGTTATGAAAGCCAGGAAGGAGTGAGTTGTTTTGATTTTTAAAAGGTATCTGCTGATCTCATCCCCTAGATTTGGCAAATACTATTTCAACTCACAAAGGATACTATTCCTGTGTGGCGATACTCTTTCCCAAAAGAGAATGTAGTTAAAGATCTATCGTGGTATTCTGTATATCCTAACCACATACCTGCCTGATGAAGCATGCTGATTCTCTAGATCCACACATTTTTACTACCAAACACACCCTGGGAAGAAACATGAACACAAGTCGGCATAAAACTCAGAAGTAAGTAGCTCATCGTGGGAGTGTTACTTCTCATCATGAGGCATTCACACACCTGAGCAGCCTCTTAGATCAGATTTACTGTGTGTGCTGTGGGATGCACGCAGAAGAGGCTCCCAGAGTCCTTCTGATGTAAAAGCAAAACATCCTAAATAACTGAGAGATGTCAACCATAATGCTCTGCCATCCAGTAAATCAGTCATTGTGTCCTGCGGGTAGCTACTGCAGACAGCTGCACAGATATTCAAAGAGCACTTTTTTATAAGCGTTTAAATTGTATCAGCTGCTGTCCAAAAGCCTGAGTGATAAGTACGGTAAATGATGCATCAGGACATTTTGTAGAACGTGGTCCCTGCAAAAGGATGATAGCATGAGTCAAGGGTTAGGGGGATGTGGAAAGGAAGGAAGAATAAAAAGCATTCAGAGTATGTGCTGGAAATTGATTCTGGGCAATGATGGATTAAGGTGGAAAATAAGAACATTTTTCCTCTCTTCCCAGTTCCTAGCTTTCAGCTTGACCTCAGTGATGTGTTCATATTCATCCCACCGCTTTGACATGACATGCCAGGTACACAGTACCCAGAGGAGGTAGAATTAAGGTAGAAAATAAGTGGGGCAGATATTTTTTGGGGTGAAGGGGTAACACCTATCAGAAATGAAGGGAGACAGAGAGAAAGGGAAGGGATATCAGCAAAGATGCAAAGAAGGAGCAATCAGGGATGTTCAATGAAAACCAAGAGCTGCCTTGGAAGTTAAAGAGGGGTCAGGAAAACTCAGCCAAATGGTGTAGACCTGCACTGTCCTATCCGGCAGCCACTAACCACACACGGCTATTGAGAACTCAGAATGTGACAAACACACAGTGAGATGTGCTCTAAGTCTAAAATACACAGCAGATTTCACAGACTTAGTATAAAAAATAATGAAAATATCTCATTAAGAATGTTAATATGGATTAAATGTTGAGATACTATTTTAGTTATGTTGAGCTAAACAAACTATATCATTGCTTTTCACTTTTTTACCTGGTTTTTTACTTTTTAAATGTTTCTTTTTCACTTTCTTAATGTGGCTACTGGAAAATTTAAAATCACATATGTGGCTTGCATTATATTTTTATTGGATGGTTTTGCAATTCAAGGAAATTCAGAATATCCTTATTTGTTAAATGTAGATCTAAGGACTGAGTTTTAATTAAGAGCAATTTAAAACAGCAGCATCAAAAGAATGGTGGAATGAGACATCAATTGGTAAGCATTAATGGACCCCTGAGTGGGGGTGGGGGAGGGCAGTGGTAAGGAAGTAGAACTGATGACTCTTCCAAAGAAATTTATTAGCTAAGGAAAGGAGGGATCAGACGCTAACTTTAAGGAAAGCAGAGGTAACAAAGAGGCTTCTCCCCACCTCTTTTTTTCCTTTATTTGATTAGATGAGCCTTAAGCATTTCTTTGCAGGCACAGGGAACTGAAGATGCACGCAAGAGAGTTGATGCAGGCATGTGCCAGAAAGAGGGGAAAGTCGGAAGGGAGCTCTACTGAAAGTATTAGCTTCGGGCGAGGAAGGACTAGTTTATTCTTGTTGGATAGCCCATCCCTACCTCAACCCCCTGCTGGGAGATAAGAATAAAGAAAGTAAGAGAAAGGAACACAACCTTCACAGAGATGTGTGAAGGACTACTCTAGGCAGGTTACAAGTTATCTCATCCAATTTTTATGTGCCTCCTGTGATGGAGATAATTGCTTTTTCAACAGGTGAGGAAACTGAGACCTAAACAGGTTAAGCTACTTGTCTATTTCACACAACCAATAAGAGGAAAGTCCCACAAGTAGAGGCAGAAGTGCCATAGCCAAAATTCACGCTTTGCTGTCTAGTGTTTTTTCTTATCATCATAACCATCTGCAGAACCAAAGGGTCCTGGAAAAGAGAAACGGTTCTTATTAAGATATGTTTACAAACATTCTTAAAGTAAAAACCAAAATGCAACACTATAGTTACAGAGCCTGATTCTAACATGGAAGTAGGTCCTGTGTACAACCAGGGAGGTTCAGTGGACATATTGCACTAGAGAGAACGATCAGGCCATCAGGAGTGCCCCAGAGGAAGAGGCTGGCTGCAGGCAGAGGTGCCAGCAGGCACAAACTGAAAATTCCATTTCCCAAATAATATACACCAAAGACAACTAAAACACGGGGAGCGTGACAATGGAAATGCTCTCTGGTGGTAGGATAAACAATGCAGGTGGCAAGAAGCTGAGCTTCTACTGACACTCAAAGCGATGCATCAGACTGCCATAAGCCTTCAGCCTCTTTTTCTGCAATTTGTTCTGCAATCCGAGATCAGATCTTATTTTTTGATCTTTGTTTAAAACTACACTGGAGGAGGCAAGCCAGCAATAAGTAATTCAAACCACCGGAACAGAAATGCTTAAGGGAAGATGAAAATCTCTTCAAATTACTTTCATTTTCTTTTCCATGTGCAGAACAGTTCTTGCCAAACAACCAGTTACTATTAGAGACCAAAAAACCGATAAAGGGAGAAAAAGGCATCAGTTATTTATCTTCTTTAACGCAAGACTTTTTGACAGTCTCTCTTCCAATTATCAAAAATGCA